AACTTTGTGACTGCTCGTATACAAGAGCTGTTCTTTATCACTTTGAGCGATACCATGTAAACTGAGGGTATAAAACACATCTCTTTCAAAAGAAGAAGCAACTCCGGATCAACAACTGTTTTTTGAAAAAATTGGACATTCAGCAAGGTAGGAGACGTAACGAAGGTTATTATCTGTGGTTTTTATTTGATGTGAGGAATGAATAAAAATAAATGTATAAATAAATTATATATTTCCCTAACTTGTCTTAGCGAGCTCACCTTGGTGTCTACTACATTTACACCTTAAATAATACCTTAGTTAAATATATATATACACGGTGGTCCAGTTTATTTCTTGGTTCGAAATCTACTTTGTTTCAAGCGATACATCACTATTGTACTAAACAGGAAGATCTTTGAGCCCGTATTCAGGGTACAAAGATAGGGCTTTTGATGGGAAAAACAAAAGCTAAATTCGGCCTAATTTGACAGTCTTAATTACGATGATAGCAATAATAATAATAATAATAATAATAAAAAAAGAAGACACAATCACTTTGTGAGAAGTAGAACTCCGACCCTTCACCATGCCGGGAAGAATCGGTGCGTTGAAACTCGACCTCGAAATTCAATTTTACTACTGAGTTGAAACTATTACATTCAAACAAAGTAAGGTCATATCAATAGCTCAACCCAAAGATTAAAGGAGAAAACAACAAGCAGATACTTATCGAAAGGCAAGGAGAGGTTCCTAAATCGAAAAAACCGTTTTCTCAAACGCCGACTCTGGACAACCCATGTGGGGAAATGTTGTACATCAATCAATAGGACCTCAATTTAGCCTCAGTAAAAACAAAGGAAAGTAAAACTTGAAACAAGGATAAAACTGAATTGAAAAACTAGACATAAATTAACGAACAAAACAAGAAATTGCATCATTTTCTGTTAAGTTCACTTAGTCTCCTTTCCCTAGTGAAGCGTGTCAAATATTCACTTGATTTCAATACATTGCTGGTCTAAACGCATATATTATTCATTTGAGCTTTAACTGCAATCACATGTAACTGATCAGGACGGCCAACAGTTTAATGTCATTGCCCAAATTATGTACAAAAAGACAATAAAATAAATAATGGCTTCGGTAAATATTTCACCAAAAAATGAGCAATTCTAAATAAGTCATTTGTTGCTGCTTCAGTGACAGCCTGCTTAAGCAGCCACCGTTCATCCTGTACAAGACCACCTAACGTAAGTGGCTACCTACGTAAATTATCAGTTCCCCTTTGAGGAGGTTCAACAGTTGAAGCGAGGTGTATGGAATAAGGAAAAAGTTTTTCTGTGGTGCAAAGAGGGAGCTGGCAAAGGCAACCTCCCCCCCACCCCCCTCCACCTAAGGACCTGCCCAGTTTATTACATAACAGTGATCACAACAAATGCAATCTCATCAAAACTTTAAAAAGCTGCCTGCAGGAAATTTAAGGGCAGAAATAGTTTACTCTCATATGCTATTTTTTGTTGCTTTAAATCTTCTTAGCACATGTTCTTGAGCAAACAAATTATTGGAATTCATACTTCTTTTCTGCAATAAATATTTCACATTGTTTTGCCACAACAAAGGAGTTAAATTCAAATTAAATACAAAACCAGAACAGTAATATGGCATATAAAGTGCTAGCAATTATCACCTCTTCACATACAGAGTGTAGCGAGATACTCTGTGAAAAATATGCATTACATTATACATACAGGTCCCAGCTGATACAGCTGTAACAGTGGTCACAACAAATGCAATCTCATCAAAACTTAATTCACTGTTATCTACTGGGTAGAGATTTATCCGATGGATAGCGCTATCCAGCTTTTGAACAACAGGGGCTTGGAAGGTAATAAATTTATTGTACATCTAAAATACCAGTAATCCATGCTAAAAAATGCCTTTAAGAAGTGTTCTAAGTGCCACTGAAACAAACATTATACTTGTCTCTTTTTACTTAATTTTTTTTTGCTCTGAAGAGATTGAGTGCGCAAAGAGATTTAGGCTTGAGAAATGACCCTAAGTTCAACAAATTTGGATATTTCCTTGGCTTGTTCTGTAAGCCATTTGACATCATGCAATTATCATAAGAAGATGCACATCTAAAAGCTTTAAAATTTTCTGGAAAGGATACTGATTTTGTCACTGGCACCTAATTTGGGGCACAACACTCAGAACCCATCCCTTTCTGATTAGAATTCAATTTTCTAGAGGCTCTCTCTTTCTAGGTGCTGAGTTGACACTTCAACTATGCATTTATTTGCAAGTTGTCGATGTCTCTTAATCATAAACTTGACTTTAATGCATGTGCTGAGCACCTGGTTCCCACATGATGTATATCTAACTAAGAATTGTGCTATGTTGCACTAACTTCCCCATCATAGAAACATTGGCATAATAAAGTGCACTAAAATTAGTTTTTCATTGCCTTAAGAGGTCATTTCTCTTATTTGTACATGTTGTAAGATATTGATAATGAACTACAGTGTAGTTAAAAAAAAAGTTATAATCATTATTTTAAACTAGTTCTTATTTTGTTTCTGAAAATCAGTAGAACTTTAAAATGAGCAGAAAAGACATGTGTGTCTTACAGTAACAGATTCAAGGTATTTTCAGTACTTCACTTGACCTCATCCTTCAGATAACAAACTTTCAGGCAAACCTACAATTAAATAAGACAATAATATTAACCACTTACAGTATTCAATTCAGGCCACCTCAATGTGCCTTGGGTCTGTTTCTTAAAAATCCCAACATCTTTTAGGGCCCAAAGTCATATTTTACAATATCATTTACCAGGTTTCATTAACAGATGGTTTTATACATGTAGTTTTGGTTTCAAAACTATTAATTTAAAACCCTGAACCTCACCATAAACATGAAGCACACATAAACAGCTGAAAAAAGCACCAAATTGAAAGTAAAAAAAAAACAGGGCCTGTAATATTATTATTGGGACTTTCGAGAAATTGGGCCGAGGGTTGGGGAATATGTGAAATTGATAGAAGAATAAGGCAGTGTTCATCATTTCACCCTATAGTTCATTGATTCAGGCTGACTTTCGTTTCAGACAGATAACTCTTGAAAAGTTGAACATTCTAAAGACAGCTTTTATAAAGCTGGGTTGGTTTTAACTTGACCCAGGCCAACCTTTGCTCAAGACCTCCAATAAGATGGCATTTTCCCAAGTGGTAGATTAGCTTATAGATTAGCTGTTTAGCTAAACTTGTTATACTGTATGATACTAGGTTCCCTAAGTTTCCCATTCTCTTATAGTAAATACAATTGAACCTCCACTAACAGCCACCTCTCTACAACGGCCATTTTTTTTGGCAGACAGTCCATACATTAACGTTTGTTTCAACGTCTCTACAATGGTCACCTCTCTATAATGGCCACCTTCTTCTGTCCCCAAGGTAACCGTTATAGCAGGCCATCTGATATTACGTGATGGTGCGATTTCGCAAAATTGATCTCAAATCGCATCCGATCACACAATTTGAGGAAAATCGCATAATTCGTAAAAAAAAATGCTAAATTCAAGTAAAGAAAACAATAAATTCTAGTTTTAATCAAACATTTTCCCAATCTTAATGTTATTTCAGGTGATTTAAGACTAAAGAAAGCCTTGTAAGACATCTGAAACCTTCGATCATGGTATCTGGGCAGCCATTTTGATTTCAGAGACAAGCAGTATGGTCAGCAGTGTAACGGCTTCATGTTATATTAAACAAGTGTCCTTTTCTTTCTTTCTATTTGTTTTCTTTTCCAGGTCAAACTAATTGGACAAATTAAACTAATTTGTTTTAAAATAGATGTTTTATTATTCTTATTCTTTTACATTCAAATTGCCTGTTAAACAACATTAAAGTGATTTTTTTTTCCTTTGAAACCTTATAAATCAATGCTAATTAGCCCCCAAAAGACTGCATAATTTATCACATAATAGTCCTATCTTATCACACAATCTACCTTGAAAATATCACACAATTTCTGATTTTTTATTGCACCCTATCAGATGGGTTGTTATAGAGAGGTTCAACTGTACCAAAACAAATGACTCACCAGATTTCCAATATTTTTAATACTGTGAAAGGTTTAAGCCCTGGAGTCATTTCATAAGTGGGTGGAATACATTGTACAATTGTCCGGGTGAGCGTAGTCCTGAATAGGACTATTGTTGATAGAGACTGACATTTCAACAACCTGTGCAGTAGTCATCTTCAGACCCTGAAGATGACTACCAGACTCTAAAGATGACTACGCAGGGTTGTCAAAACGTCAGTCGCTGTCAACAACAGTCCTTACTTTTAATACTATTTGTATGGATCACTAACTTGAATTGTTCAGCCATTTAGCAGACACCTGCTCAAATCTCTAAAACCTGGTTTAACCAAAGAATGGATTATACCTGTAGTTGAAGGAAGTTGGGACATGTTTTGTAAAGTAATCAAAAGTTGTCACAAGTTAAAGTAATATGTACAGTCAACTCTCTGTAAGACGAACACTTTGGGAATGTCACCAAGTGCCTGTCTAATAGTGATGTCAATCTTATAGAGAGTCTAATAAAGGGAGTAAAGTAAGGTACATGTAGGAATCAACTCTAGGTGTCTATAGCACCAACGTGTCCATCTTATAGAGGTATCTGTTATTAGTAAAATCCAACTAGTGGTCTATCATCAATGCTGCATTCTGATTGGTTGAGCTACTACTAGGCTATATGTTTTAGTAGCCCACTAGTAGTGAAAAGCACTGGCTTTTTGGCGGCAAAATGTCTAGCTTTAACTAGCTAAAGTTGTTTTTTCTCGATATTTTTGACCGACTAGTTGGATTTTACTAAAATAGTTATTCCTCGGGCCCTCATGGTCTCTGAGTCAATAGCCCATTCGGCCTCGAGGAATAATTGTTAAAGAGAGAGTCAAGTAATTTGACTCGAAGGGCAACAAGCAAAATTGACCAAAATCCAACCTTTCTATCCTTCATTTCTATGCTTCCACTTTCTCTGCAGGAGGGGCACTTGGAGCAGTGTCACTTTGGCCAACGGTACTTTCATATGATGGGGGTGGAGGCATCTCTGTTGGGTATGGTGCTTGAACATTATAGGGAGAATTAAAAGGGTACTGAGTCGATGAAGGATAAGCTGGTCCTGTCGGATAAGTCGAATATCCAGCGGGCGGTACCGGTGGCGGATATGATCCCGGTGGATACATGGGTGTTTGCCCGTACGCCGGCTGTTGAAAGCCATAGGGGCTAGGATATTGAGTGGTGGTCGTCACATTGCCCGATCCTCCTTGAGTTGTTGAACCTATCTGACCAGTATTCGGTCCGCTTATAACTTGTCCGGCATTGTTCTTTCTCTGGATGCGAGAATACACTATGGTAGCAATCAACAATGCAACGCCGATCGCCAAGAAAACTGGCCCAACGATTCGACAATTCTTTAGATTTCGCTCCGTCTCAAGCCTGTCTTCTTTACAGAAGTCACAC